CTAACTGCTAGAAGAGTGAAATTTTACAATAAATTCCAGTGGGAAGAGAAGGTGAGTAAAAGAAAAAGCTACTGAATTTTAAAAGGTGAGTTGATCAGTTTAGGAGTGAGAGTAATATGCTGTGAAAACAATGGCAATGACAGAGTTTTCTTCAGATTAAATATCTTTATGGCACTGTTCTGTTCTGATACACCTGAGGATCAGAGAGCAACAGCTCTAACACTGCCGATTATGTTTTGTTCTTGATCATTTTGTCTTTGCATATTTTTAGTTACTGATTTCTTTTGATTTATGAAATCTTTCTGATTTATGAAGAAAGAAAAAAAAGAATCTTTGAGCTAACCAGATGTCCTGCATAACCCTTCATATGCCAGCACAGAAGCTACTATACTATGCAGAAGCAGAATTTCATCCACCATTGATATAATATTATGAAAAGCCACAATTTTGCAAAGTAACACAGACAAGGCAAATTATAACAACTAATCCTTTCATCACTACTGAAGAGGATCAGATTCTTCCAGGTCAGGTTTTGAGCAGAAGTCTAACAAATACTGTACTGTATCCAGTTCTGATCCCAGCATCTCAAAAGAGATGTAGCCAGATTGGAGAGGGTCAAAAGAAGGGCCATGAAGGTGATCAAAAGGATTGACAACATGACCAATGAAGAAAGACTGAAGGAGTTAGGTCTTTTCGCCCTGGAGAAGAGAAGACTCAGGGAAAATAATCCCAGTATTCCAGTAGTAAAAGAGTACTATGATTCTATGCACTGCTTTGCATCACCATCTCATGCTTGCCATTGATGATGGAGAGTATAGGGAGAGTCGTTCTTTGCTAATGTAATCTAAATTATGAGCACATTCAGTTCCTGGCCGCTTCTGCTGTTATTTAGCCTTGTAGTTGCTAAAGACAGTTATTTAGTTACAGCAATGGACAGCTGCCAAAAAGGAGAAGATAGACACCAAATACAGCATCTGAATTTAACTTCCACGTTGCATCTTTTTTCGCATTTCACTCTAGACTCACCTGTCTTCATCTCTCTCCCTTCTCCCACCGTCCTACCTTAACAGCTGGTTTTCAAATACAAATACATAAATGAGGCTGAGGAAACTGGCTATTTTTCCTCTATGAAATAAAACTCTCCACAACTAAGAATTTAAGTTTCATTATCTGGGCTCTGAGTTTCAGAAATACTAAATGTAGATGAAGGTAAAAAGAAGGTGAGGTTACCATGCAGCAATGAAACAAGCCTTGTCCCTTGAAGTACAGGTTGTAGGTTACATTTTGGGATGTTACTTGTCCTGTAGTACCAGCACTCCACATCAAAAAGTCAATAATCAAACAGTGGTTAGATACAGTAAATAGTCACAAAAGCTGCAGCACAGTTAAGTGTTTGTACATTTACAAAAGCCAAATAAGAAGATTAGACAAGAAGTACATTATGGAGATGGTAGAAAAAATGGCTCAAGGAGCACCGTACATTTGTTTTTCTTTTAATTATGTATTTTTTTAATAACATGGACTTTCTAGCTCCAAAATATATATCACAGTGAAAATTCAAACAAAACACTGTTACACTCAGTTGATATTTACACACACTTAGAAGCAAACCACCTGTTGATTTCTTCCATCCTGAAACAGATAGAAATGACAGCCACTGCGAATGGTGGTCATGAACGTCCAGCATCTTCAGTTTACATTCAACATAAAGATTTCTTGAGAAGCTAATTTGTGCGATGGCATCAGAGTCTGGTTTAGATAAATATATACAACTGAAGTATGATCTTTCCAGTAACACTGAGGAAGTTTGTGTGACTAAGGAAAGCCACATTTGCAAGTGCATCAACACCGCCAATAAAAGAAAAATATCATAATAGAATGGGATTGCTTGTATAATATATTGTATATTAAATATGTCAAGAGATACCACTTCTTCTAGTAAATTCAGTGCTGGTGAAAGGTACCGAAGTCCTATATTTGTCCACTGAACAAGAAATACAGAGACTGCAACAGCAGAAATTTTCCCTCCACTGCCCTCCAACTTGTCCTGCTCATTGGCTCTAGGAATTTAAGGGGAAAGTCCAAATTTTCGTGACTATTTAGTCCTCGGCCCCTCTTGCTGATATTGCCAAAAAAAAAAAAATAATTAATAATAATCTGCTGAGGCCAAATCCCAAACCAAAGTGAAGTGGCTTTATTCTAACGATAACATTAGTTTTATCTACTGATTTTAATTTAGCTGAGGACCATGTCTCCAGTGTATATGGTTGGAAGGTGGTTTTGGTGATGTGGACATTTGCCCACGAGGCACTGGACTGAGATCCACCAACTCAAAATGTAGAGCATTGCAGGACAGGCAGGAAAAAACAATGGAATCCAAAAGTAATCTCAGGAAAAGCTTCAACAACAATGAAAATTAGAAAAAAAAATCCAAACATTTTCTTCCTCTGGACTGAAACATGGCAAATGTTTCCAGCCACAGGCAGTTATTCAACACCTTCTTCTCAAAAGTTTTAATTTATTACTGCTTGAATATTGGCTACTAGCCAATCATGCAAAATACACTTTTTGATTTTTTTTTTAAATAATAAGCTTACAGTATTGTCAATATAATACCTTGTGAAAGCCCATACTACAGGAAATACAAATCTCAATGTTATCTGTTCATCTAATGTTAGATAGTCTCATTTAAAAAATGTCTAAGTATGCATTTACCTGATAGATGTGACTTTCCCCATCTCACGTGTCTTTCTGAGCTGCAAAGTGCATGGTTCCTTGGGAAACTTTCTAAAATAGCTTTTAGCAGCATCTAATGAGAGAGGAAGCTCCATTCTATCAGTTCAAAATATTTCAGTTATTTTTGCAGAGAGTTTGGAAAAAAGGGACAAATTCTGCTCTCAGAGCAGCAAACCAGTGCTGAACACTTGAAAATAAAAGGTGTCTGGATACTATGACTCCGACTTAAAATACTGGATTATAATGTAAGTGATTTAAACTGTTTTGCTGGTCCTCTGTGCAAGGGTAGATTTCACCTGACAGGGGTGAAAGAGCATGATCCTGTATCAATATGATGTCAGTAAACATTTCTGTGTGTTTTGAGTTAATTTTACATTCATTTACACTGCTACAACTGAGAGCAGATTATGTCTCATAAAGCACTATATAAGTGTTAAATATTATTATCATTAATATGTCTTTCACAACTTTCTGAAACCTTTTTTCTCCTTTTAAAAATAAGGAAACTCTCATTACTTTTAAAAACCTATGCTTAAAATGACATTAAAACCTGAACTAACAAAAACCAGTGAAATTAAAAGCTCACACTCAGCTAACACAAAAATTTCGAGTCTTTCACTTTCTTTTTTCACGTTCCTAATGTGCCAACTAACACTAAAGAACAAACCTGAATTTTGAATTTCCTGGTTACTATTAGTTTCAGTTCAAAATTTCACATTTAAAATGTCATTTTCATTTTTGTTTTTTAATATATGCATATGCATACGTGCACAAATATATTTTTATATATATATATATTTATCAGTTCATAAATCCAAAATTAAGTGAGTGTTAGGACAGTCCTCAAAGCTTTTACGCACTGTATAAAGACTTTTAAGAATTGACATCATCGACATTTGATTGAAGTAGATGTGCATCAGTCATGGCTTTAACTACAAAGGTTGAAAGAACATTTTAGTTTCACTCAAAGAAAACCAGTAAGACCATTGGTGGTTAAACAAACTGAATATCCAAAGAGAAATAAAACTTCCAGGTGTGGGAAGTCATCCAAAGTCTTTATCTTTTCCTTCAATACCATCTTATTGTTCAGTTTAGTTGCTCACCAAATGCAGATGACTTTTACCTTCCAAGGTGATCCTGCCAGATCCCTCTTGTGCCTCTTGATCTGGCAGGGAAAAGTCAACACACAGAAGTCAATCAAGTTGCAAAGGCACCACAGTCTGTGTGACAGTACTACACAAAACCATACCCTGTTTGGACACGGATGCAGAGGATTCAATGCTATCTGGAGGGAAAGGTTATCCTGGATCTGACTTTTGCTTTTAAGTTGTGAGGGAGGAGACAGTTAATTTTATTATTCAAATAACCCAATCAATCAATCTATCAATCAATCAACATCAAAAATATAGATATATCTCAACTACATGGCCCTTTTAGAAAATTCACAGCTTAGCTAGAACATAAAGCCTTCTCAGAAGTGTCCCTGGGTACAGAAAAAGACAGCTGATCCCACCTCTCTTGCCTGGAGCCCTTCCATGGATAAATAGTAGCTATACAGCTTCACATTGACACAGTAGTTTCTTTAAGTCCACTGGGTACACCTGACTAAATCCAGCCATGGATTTTCTGGAGTTCTTCCTGAATCGGCTGGTTTGATTAACCCAAGTATGTTAGCTCCATCCCAAGACTCAAAAGAGAAACACTGCAGAAATTCACATGCCAAAAGACAGGGACAGGCTAAGATATGTTTGACTAGGAAAAAACGAAAAAAAGGCAAATCCAAACCAAAATGAAAACTAACTTGAGAAAGAACAATTATCATGTCCATTCACAGATTAGTATCAGTATGGCAACCAAGGATCACAACTGCACAGCAATCACTTGTTACTTTTGACTGACGACAGATTACCTGCAGATGCTCTGAAATGAAAATCATTGTGTGGGTGGGCTTGGCCTGTTGTTTATCTTTTAAACATTTTTCCATTAATGGCCTTGCGTACAGCTGGGTATTTACACTGATTGTTAAAAAGATATATATATACACATTTCCTTTGCTTTTTCACCTCTACAAATATCAATGAATTGTTGGGTAGGAAAGGAAAGGGGAAAGGGGAAAAGGGGAAAGGGGGAAGGGGAAAGGAGAAAGGGGAAAGGGGAAAGGGGAAAGGGGAAAGGGAGACCTACACCACCATCAAAACATTATTTTTCTTTTTAAAGGGATGGTTTTTGGTTTGCTCGTTGATTTATTTGTTTTCCTTAGCTGCTCATGTCGCTAGGTTCTCCGCATTTATGCTGGACATCCGAATCTGAGAGCTGCTCTTGCTCAGAATGGAGAGTTGTGTCCCCCCGTTCACTCCGCTGCTCGCTAGAGAAGGATGACGATGTTTGAAATCCACAGCAAAATATCGGTTGACTTTCCAGCTCCTCCATTTTCTCTTTATTTCTGATTGCACCTTTAGGGAGAAACTTCAAAAGGTCATTTTTTATGTACTTAGCCGCTCGAGGACATGCTGACAAATAATCAAGTTTAGAAAAAAACACCACAATTTGACAGAATAATTTTTAAGGTTAATTTTAAACTCCTGACTTCAGCAAAATCTGAAGTGACTTCTCCATGTCTGAAGGAGGTCCAAGCATATATTGGGAACAACAGCCTGGGTTCTGTGTCTCTGACTTCAGATAATTTAAGATCAGCCCAGAGGTGCATAGAAGACCTGTGCAACACTAACTCCAGCACAGTTCTTTAGCTAGCTTCTTGGAAAAAATATCCTGTTTTCACCAATGGCCAGTACCAAAATGATAGTAAGGAGCCAAAGAAACCAGCAACCAAAAGGTACTAGACAGTAATGAAATAGTCTGTGTGCAAAGGCGGCTTGTCTCTCACCTGCGATTAATGGATGGATGTCTACACAAAACTTTATCTCCTGCTTTCAGATCACCTCTAAGTAGATGATAATTCTTGTATTCCTATACATCAATGACACTGTCTTTTCCCTTGAGCTTTTTTCGTGTGTGCCAACAGTAAATCACCAACAGTAAAACAATTTATGGTCAGAAGTTTAATAAGAAAATAAGAAAATAATTCTGTAGCTTTTCTACTTTTCATTCATCACTGATTATCTGGCAATCTTGTGTGTATACATATATGTACATGTAAAACAATAAAGATTTAAAATAAGAAAGTTCATGGTAGCTCAGACCAACATTTACTCAGTTTACTACTCATTCCTGACAGCAGCCTGTAGCATATTTCTGCCTGAAAGAGCATAAGAACAAGGAAATATGTAGAGATATTTCCCCAATATACTTTTCCAGTCTCCATGAGCTCCTGTGTCAAGGACATTCTTCTTGTCTTTAACAGTCATTGCTAGATTTTCCTAGACAAATACAATTGTCAAAACGGATAAGCATATGCCAAAATGCTAACCAAGTACTTCAACTGAGTGGACAATAACTACAGGGAGGAAAATACCAACTGGAAAACTTAAATTCTCCTTCTAGTACCTTTAAATTTCTATTTTGGTGAAAGTATAGGTAGGTATAGATTGGATAGAGTATGGAGGTATATTACCTCTGTAAAAAGAAAATAGTGTTTGCATGTGTTACTGTGTAATATACTGAAGATGAATCCTTCCTTACTCCAAGTAATTTAGTGGAGGCACAAGACATTGTCTAATATCTTGAAAGGCAAAATGGTTTTAATGAATCTGGCTGTATTATTTTGGCTAAGTAGCATCACACATCACCTTCCAAGAAATTGCAGAAAATCTGAGATACTGTGCATGTTACCTCAGAAGGTGCTTATCTCCAGATTAGTTTTAGACAAAACCTTCTTTTAGCACTCATGGAAGATAATAGATGAAATAACAGCTGTAGGTGGGAGAGATGGATATCCAATAATGCCAGCTGGTGAAGTATGAAAACAGCCACTAAGTCCAGCAAGGCACGATCCAGAACTCACCTTCTGAGCTTCTTGGCCCTGAGCTATGAATAATGTTTTAACAGATCTTTGGGTCCTTTGATATTCACCCTGACTAAGCCCATGAGCAACATGACCTATACATTTATTTGATGATGTTGAGGAGATTATTATGGTTATCTGAGAAGGAATCACTTTGACCAAGGAGGTAAAGATCTTCTGTACTAGAGACCAGCTAATGCATGCTATATGAAAACAAGCATAAATTTCTGGGCCCAGAAGGAATCCACACCAAGGTGTTAAGAGAAGTGGTTGACATTATTTCAAGGCCACTTTCTATAATATTTGAAAAGATGTCTAGATCAGAGGATATACCTAATGACTGGAAATGTCATAGGAATCTACAAGAAAGGCCCAAAAGAGCCTGGACGTCTGTTTTGTTTTGTTTTGTTTTGTTCTGTTCTGTTCTGTTCTATTCTATTCTGTTCTATTCTATTCTATTCTGGATCCAGGAAACTACCAACTTGTTAGTCTTACTTCAGTCTCTGAGAAAATAATGGAATGAGGCCTCCTAGAAAATATCACAAACTAAATGAAGCAGGTGTTTGGGAAGAGCCAGCAAAGATTTACCAAAAGCAAATCATTCTAGTTCAACCTAACCAGCTTCCACGACAAAATACATTTTTCTGTTTACATGGGTAGAGCAGCTGATGCTGTTTACCTGGACTTCAGCAAAACATTTGACACTTTCTCCCACAGCCTCTTCCTAGGCAAATTGGCAAGATACAGACGTGCCGGGTAGTCTGCAAGATGGGCAGGAAATAGGCTAACTGGCCACACTCAGAGGGTGATGAACAATGTTTTTGGCACAGGTCGGCAGCCTGTGACTAGTGGAGTCCTCCAGGGATTGATGCTGAACCCCACACTGTTTGCTCTTTATAAATGAACTGAGTGATGAGATTGAAAGCACCCTGAGAAAGTTGGCTGATGATACAGATTTGGATGGTGGACATGTCAAAAGTGAGAGCTACCTCACAGAAAGAACTGAAGGGGCTGGAAGAGTGGGTTAGCAAGAACTGTATGAAGTTGAACAACAGGTAAAGTCCTGCACATGGGATGACATAACCAAAGAGACCAGTATAGCCCCTGCACCTGCTAGAAAGCATTAATCTGAGCCATCGTCTCTAGCAAGGTCAATGTTTTGGTTTAGTAAAGATATCACACCTCTTTCTTTTGCCGAGTCATTGTGAGATTCAGCTTAAGGTATTAGGGAATATGGTAGATGATGAGTTACAGTGAAGATTTAAAGTAGCAGTTACTCCCACAAGAAAATGGAATGGGGATGATGAGCGGAGGAGGTTAAATATTAAAAATCTTACCTCCCCATTCAAGAAACAATAGAGAACAGCAACAACAAAACCCTAGGTAAACGGGAGAGAAAAAAAATAATGTGATTGAAATCCTTCAGTAAATGCTAGAAAATAGCTGGAGTTAAAACAAACAAACAAACAAAACCAAAATCCTAGTAACAAAACACATACATAAATGAATAAACACAGTCTGAGAACTGTGCATGCAAAGTAGTTATAATAAGTAGAGATTTCTTTTTAACAAAACCAGAATTCACTGTATAATCACCTGGAAAGATCCCAGTCCCAATTCAAACACTAGTCTCTCCCGCTTACTGACATTTTCAGGAGAAAAAGCAAACACCGTGTAGTGAATTCCAAACAAGGGGATAAGCAGTAGTGTAGAGCGAGCCAGCCTCCTGTTATAATAGAGTGAAAGAACTTTAATGCAGCCTTGTAATAAACAGCTTGTGCTTTAATTAAAGAAGAAAACACAGAAAATATTTTGTTGCCTGCCTTTTGGGGAATACACACACTGTATAATTATACAAACAAATATACAACATTCTCATTTGTTCTCAAACAGTGATTTCACAAAGACTGTAGTTTGCTCCCATTTCTTCACACTGGTATGATAATAGCACATTAGCAATGCTTAATACTCTGTGCTGTTATTTTCATTTGCATTATTATAAGCAGGGATTTTTTCCTACTGTGCCAAACATGAGGAGACTAATCTTGCTATGGGATTCAGACTGCTACCATAACACAGTAACAAACCTCTCACCCAATTGCCTAATCCCAGTGGAGTGTTTGAAATTACCTTTGTGTGTGTGTGAATTTATTTCTGTCTAGCAAAAAATTCTACAACAGTAATACAAATTAAGCTAAAAAAACCCCCTGTATGTTCTTATACTCATGACTGTTCCTCAAGGTCTTGGGTTTGGTCTCATTTATACTTTTGGAAACCTAAGTGCAATTCCATTGTGTAATCATTTCCATTACATTTGAATAAAGAGGTTGTAGAAGAAAATCAAATTACGTATATATACAAAAAGGCTGGAGATGAATGTGTGTACCTGTAAGCACTTAACTGATGATGGATGAATATCCTTTACAGCAGGTGTCTAGCCAAGACTTATGCATACTTATGCATGTTTTGATCAGTGCCATTTGCTGATTTAGCAGCAAAAAAAAAAAAGACCCAAAAGAAAACAAATTTTGATCTGAATATAAGGCAAGCACTTTATTATAAACTAAGTGGCCTAAGGTAAATTCCAGGACATTTTCAAAAGGGAAAAATTAGGACTGATTTCCTTTAAGCAAGTTCAGGAGGCAGATGAAGGGCAAGGGAAGCTAAAAAGCCATGAGGGTTTTTGGAAGAGATGCATACTTTTTAAAATTTGAATGTTCACTCTACTTGAATCTATATGGCATACTACAGACATGTTTGAATTTGCTAATAATTGCCTAAATATGACATTTGTCTTACTGGAAGTCAAAACTTAATTAATACATCTCCAATAACTGTGAACATGGGCTCTTATATCCAATACTAAACTGGAAATGGGATATCAGTTCATTGCTAGTATTCCTCCTACTTTGTGCACTTGATGGTGATAAATACATTACAACCCTTGCCTTAAGATTGTACTTAACACACATGGTTCGTTATCAAATCTCAAGTCTTGGTGAAAGACCCCACAATCCAGAGAACACAGTTCTGGTGAATTCTGAAGTATGACATTGGCCAAAAATGTTTCGACAAGAGATAAACAGCCTTGGAACAGGTTGATGAAGAGCATACAGTCTCAAAATTTGGTCATCTCTAGAAAAAGTAAGCTATACAGGAGTGATCCAGCTAAATGGACTAAAAGACCTTTTAAGGTCCTCTCTAGTCCTTTTTCTCTATGGACATGTAAACAGATTAATGGAAAGGAACCTAAACATAGTGGAAGAAATTATAGAATAATGCTATCTCCATGAACAAAAAAGGATGTAAAGAACATATGTGTCTTAAACTAGTCATGGAATAAAAAAATTCTTAAGGCAGTGAACTGGTCGAAGAAGTATCTCTCAAAATCTGTTACACTTTGTATTCAGAATTAATGACAAGAAGAAGAAAAGGATAAATGCTATTTTGATGTAAAAGTCAGAACAGAATTGTTATTATTATGTTGTATGTCACCACAGTCCCAGGAGATTAATTTTGTGAAAGATGTGGAGGAAGTTTTTTTCTATTGTCAGTTTTCTGGCATTAAATTATACCTGATTAATCATACAATTAGTTTGTAAGATCTTGAAATATAATGTCATCATCAATTCTTCGAGATGCTGCCTTCAATATCGTCATAAAAGTCAAGAAGAAAATACATGAAATGTAAGAAATAACATATTTGGAAGATTATGGATTATTAAGAGCTATAAAGAGAAAAATATTTTAATTATAGGAAAAACTTGAGAGACACTAATGACTGTGTGGATGGTGATGAATTCTCTTTTTTAAAGAGCATTAAGAAGAAAGAAGACTTAAAGCAGCACCTGCATGAGATGTAAGTTTATGTGCAATGCTGAAATGAAGATGGCTATGAATGTGGCCTTTCCATAAGGTGTTAGTACAGAAGGACACAGATAACAGTGATCTCTCTTTTTCCTCACTCTTCTATTGAATTATGGAAAGACATCTTTATAACAGAAAGAATAGAAATCAGAAAGGTTGTCTGACCGGTACCTGGAGGAACCATATCTTTATTTTTTTCATTGCACATGTTAAGAAGACTGCTGAAGTGTCTATGGATATTACATAGGACATAATGTCATGAATTGGAAATGAAAATACACATTACATTGCATTGCCGTGTAGAATTTCCAGTGATTTCTACCGAATATTCCAGTGTGTTTCAATTGCGCATTTTAAAACAGGTTTCTAGAAGACAAACTAATGCTGTGTTTTGAACAAACACAGTAACTGTACATCAGATGAAAAAAAACAACTACTTTGAGCAAATGTGCAACAGCACACAAGGACCAATTGGTTTTGAGTGTTCTAAATAGGTTTTTTTCAGCTTTTTTTAAATGGGATGTAACAAAGATATATGTCTAGATTCAGAACTTGCAGATCGAAACGTAAGAACTGCTGAGCATCTGATGATGCTATTTGGAATGAACAAAGAAGGCCATCAGAAAACATGGGTCCTCTGAATCAGGAACCTGAATCTCCAGAAGCAATCGTGTAAGGAAATTTGTGATTGTCATTCTTTATTCTGTCTCTGAGAGAGGTGAGTATTGTAGCTTAAAGCTTACTCTCCCATCAGTTCCAGGTACCTCCACTGCACTGAAGATGGGTCTTGTGCCATTTTTGCTGGGACTGTAGTTGCTTCTGATGGACTAATTGCAAAGTCGTGTAGCTCAAAACAGCCATTGTCAACTTTCATAAGATTTGACAGATGATACCGTTTGCTATTGAGCTAAGGATAAAATACAGTATAACTTTTACTCTGGCAAAGACTTTTTTGCCTTGGTTTTAGAGGTTCTCATCACCCAACTTTTTTAATGCAAAATCTCACAGACTGTCAAAAGAAGCAAAAGATCTTCAAACCATAACCTCTGAAGTAAGACTATGTCGTTGTCCTGCTGTTTAGGCCTGCCTCTTCAAAGTTCATTTTAAATGCTGGATCTTAAATGAAATTAAATCTATCCAATATAAACTATTGCAGTGAAGACATCAAGGTCCCTGGTAGTCATGTAGAACAATATTCATCTCACCAAGGTTTGGACATAGATAATGTAGATATTTATACTGAAATTGTTAACATAATAACTCTAAAGCTGATGCAGAGAAAAATGCGCTTTTAAGACATAGTTCTTGCCTGCTATAGGTGCTTCTTTAAGAAGAGGTGACTCCTGTTTTACACGCCATGGGAATGTACTGAATGCATCTATTAATTTGCATATTGATTAGCTCAAAGTTAGGAGATATCTCCAATGATGGCATCTATTTTTAGTTAAATTAATTCCACACCTAGATTCCCTTTATTGTCATTGAAGAGCAACAGGTACTTACGCAAAAGGACAAATCATTTGTCTCTAAGGAAAGCCTTAACACACACAAAGTCTCTCCATTGACTACAAAGGGAATCTGGACAAAGTTGTAATATAAATTGTTGCACTGTTGCCTTGTGTAGTTTAAATTAGAGAAATTCCATCTCTTTGGCCATAACTCAGTCATGAATACGTATGTATCTTTCAGAAAACTCAGCTTTAAGAGCAGTGGAAGCTTACTAAGACTTTCATATTTTGACATAAAAAAATAAGGTTTAATTATGTTTATTGGAATCATACAGAGTTTTTCTGGGTCCCTGTTCAGGTTGAAGTCTTCTTGTCATTTTCTAGATAAAGGATTTAACCTTTCATTTTTCTGAAATGCTGTACATAATATATTTTTTTTTCTCTGTAAATGCCCAATATTAAGTCTATGCTGCATCAGGTTTTAAATTAATTAGTAGACTTCATATTTCAAACTAACTCCTCCGAAATGTAGGTCCTAGTTTTACTTAACTGTCCTTCGACCTCAAACCTCTCTCAGTGTAAAATATGGAACTGATAACTGTTCTTCTATTCCCTATTTCTTCTATTCCCTATTTCTTCTATCTGCTTTTGCACAATGTCAGTCTGTTGGCTGAGTATTTTGAGCATCTTCATTGATCTATTTCTTAAATAACTTGAGGAGATGTAACATCACAAAGAAAGTTTATTTTCGTGTTTAAATTTTCTTTTCTAGCAACAAACATAAAATATGCAGCGATAAGACACAAAATGACCTTTTCCCCTGATGTTATCAAAGATAACAACTAAGCTTCAGCAAAATGCTGGACTGTCGGATTTGTGTGGCAGGACATCTCTGAGAGTGTTGATTTACACTCATAAAATTGTTGTGAAATTCAAGGGAAAGTTCATCAGGAAACATACTGGATATACATTTCTGAAAGGTACGCCTTATCTAAATTAATCATGTGGGCTTCTTATACAAGTAACAGACAGTGAGGTGCATGATGAGAAAGTGATTGATTAATACACCTCTAGACTAAATGACATTTATTTCCTTTTCTCCATGCCTCACTCTCCATAGGCAAATCTTTGACAATGACTTCTGATTAGGCACATATTTTGATACTAGGGTAACCTTAGCCATTCCCCACCCCTGGGTGTAAACTAACACAACTTCACTCAATGGACTAAAAATGTTTTACACTAGCTGAGAGTCTGATTCACTCAGTCCTGTCCTGTCCCTGTTGTTCGAACAAACTTTCAGGTGAAACATTTACTCTCAATATGACCAGCGCTCACCTCTGCTGTATAATAAAGAGCAACTTTTAATAGTTTCTATACAGACACTACTCAAAACTATAAATAGCATCAG